GAACTGGGGAAACAGGTGGCGGCGAGGCAGGTGTGCGTCGCGCGTGAGGGGAAAGGAGGCAATCAAATCCGTCGTGACCTTTGCCCCAGCGCGCGTGGGGATCTGAGCTGGGGGGGGGGGGCTGACCCCTTGATCGTTCGGGAGCGAGTTTTCCGGTGCAATTTAATTTTGCGTCTCTCGTGGGCGAGTTTGGCATTGTTGGGTAGCGTACGCGTGACTGTGGTCGTCGCAGTGAGTAATCTCAGTGGTGCGGTATGACGTTTGTGGTTGCGCGGCGAAAGAGGCACGCAGGCAGCAGCAGACAGCAGCAGAGCGCAAGCAGCAGCAGCAGCAGCAAGCAGCAGCAGCAGGCAGACAGCCGCATAACAACGCCAGCAAGCAGTTAGCAGCAGAGCAGTATACAGCAGTAACAGCAGGCAGCAGCAGTCCCTAGCAGTAGCAGGCAGCTGATGGCCGGGGGATGTTGGTGGTACGGGCTCTAGGTGGCCAGCCGCCAGCGCGCTGCAGCGGCAGACTGAAAAAAAGGCGAAGAAGGAGCTCTGAGGCTGGCAGGAATCGAGAACAAGCAGCTGAGCGCGACCGTCGCCAAACGTCACTCAACCGCTGAGTGTGTCATTCTCCTGTCATGCCTTCCAGTTTTTTCTTGGCCTCTCTTTGTACTTGTCTTCTAATGACTTTGCTCTCTGCACTGGTTTGTATGTTGCTCGTTTTGTCCGGTCTTTCCCCTATCTCTCTCTCTCTCTCTCTCTCAGCTCTCCTCTCTCTGCTCTTTTTTTCTGTGTGGTTTGTGTTTGTGTTTCTCGTGTGTGTGTTGTGTGTGTGTTGTGGTGTTGTGTGTTAAGTGCGTACTGGCGTCCATTATGTGTGTGTGTGTGTGTGTGTGTGGTGTGTGTGTGTGTGTGTGTGTGCGTGGCGTGTGCGTGTGTGCGCGTGCGGCGTGCGTGGCGCGTGTTGCGTATGTCCACTTCTCTCCTCAACCACCGTGCTATAGTGCCACCCTCTCACCCTGCCTGCTCTCACTCTCTGCACCTTCTTCGCTCACACCCTCTCACCTCCTCTCTTCACCCTCTCTCTCACTCTCTCACCCCTCTCACCCTCTCACCCTCCTCTCTCACTCTCGTCACCCTCCTCTCTCGCCCTCTCTGCACTGCTCCTCTCTCACTCTCCTCACCGCTCCTCATCTCACCCTCTCACCCTTTCACCCTCTCACCCTCCTCACCCTCTCACGCCTCATCACCGCTCTCACCCTCTCACCCTCTCACGTACTCGCGCGGGCATAGCGTGGCGACCACTGGTGGACAGCAGGTATGGAGCCGCCCTCCGTGTGCGGGCCGCGCTCGGAGAAGCATCGGTGCCCTCTCACCCCTCCTGCACACCTCTGCACCCTCTCACCGCTCCCTCTCGTCAACCCTCCTCTCTCACTCTCCACGCCTCCTCTCTCGACCCTCTCACCCTTCTCTCCACCTCTCTCACCCTCCTCTCTCACCTCTCACCTCCGCGTCTTCTCACTCTCTTCACCCCTCCTCTGCTCAGCTCTCTCAACCCTCCTCTGCTCCTCTCTCTTACTCTCCGTCTGCAGGCGACCTGCGCGCGCCAACGAAGCGCATCAGCCAGCAGGAGAAACCCATCCAGGAACTTGAACGTCACCATTCACGCAGCGTGCTGGAACGCCTGACACAAAGAGCTTCAAAGATGCTCTCCGGGAGGAGGAGGCTGCGCGCACCAGCACGCCGAAACCACGTCTGCAAGGAGCTGGCGCTGGAACTGCATACATAGCACTTCCGCCGAGTAGCGAGAAGAAACTGCAGATGCTGGCAAGATCAGATGGAGGCACTGCGGTAAATAGAGACCCGATAAGTTTATAATGAGAGAAGCGCTGGTTTAATATAGATGTTAGAAACTTTTTTGGTGTCTGATTCTGTAGCTTTAGTCCATATAGGTAATACGAAGATGAACGGTAAAATTCAAATGCTCTGTATGATGTTTAAGACGGTGGTCCGGTTAAGCAGAGCCTATGGCCGTTGTTCGCACTGCTCTTGTGTTTTCGGCGCTGCTCTTGTGTTTACGCTTGGCTCTTGCTGGCCTCTCCTCTGCTCTTGTTGCTCGCTCTGCTCTTGCTGTTCATCCATCCTACAATTGGCCGCCAATGTTTGTTCGCTTACGCTGCGCTTCCATCATCGCGCCATGTTTGTTCCTAGTGGGCAGCAGCAGATGCGCAGATGGAGCTGGACGCCCTTATCGTCAAGATGGTCCGACATGGAGGCTCGCTGACAAGCAGAGGTGAATCCGCTGAAGCCAGAAGTTCATGCCGAGATAAACCGAACTCGAGATGGCACTGGAGAGCGCCAACGCGGCCCCTCGAGGCAGAGCAGGAAGTGCAAGGCCGCTCGCAGCTCAGCTCAAGGTAGATGGCGCTACGAGCGCACCGAATAAAATTCATAATACACTATAAAACTGTATAGAATTATATATAAATATATATATGATATATATAATTGGCACTAAAGTAACTAGTGAAATTACGCCTCAGGGTAACAGGGGTAATGTTGTCTCTTAGAACGTTGATATGAGGACATTTTAACATTACGAGAAACTGAAAATACAGCGATTCTTCTCGTACACATACCCTGTAACGCTAACCTCTCCCTCCTCTCATCTTCCTACCGTGTTACAGGACTGCAAGTGGCTGTACGTAGGACCTGCCAGCGCCAGCTGCAGCAGACCCTGGACCAGATGAACGCCCTGGCAGCGTCGGTGTCTATTTACTTGCAGTCGGAGATCGAGGAAGTTCGCAGCTCTCTGCGAGATCACCATGCGCCAGAAGAAGAAGCCTGGAAACTCGAAGTTGGACCGATGCTCAGGTGAGAAGTGTGCGATAGCAAGCGTCATCAGTATCGTCGTCATTCGTTATTTTCGTCGTCCCTCATCGTCGTCGTGGTTGTCGCCGCCGTCGTTCGTTTTAGTAGTAGTAGTAGTAGTAGTAGTAGTAGTAGTAGTCAGTACGTAGTAGTAGTAGTAGTAGTATAGTAGTAGTGAGTGTG